CAGCAGCAGCAGCGGCAGCAACACCAGCACCAGCACCAGCACCAGCACCAGCACCAGCACCAGCACCAGCACCAGCACCAGCACCAGCACCAGCACCAGCTCCACAACCAGCAGCAGCAGCGGCGGCAGCAGCAGCAGCAGCAGCAACACCAGCACCTCGACTTTCAGTGCAACAGCTAGCCTAACCACCAGCGCTACCAAGACAAGAGCTCTGACAACGATACAAAGCAGCACTAGCACATCTACATCAAGCCAAAGAACGATGTCTACAGCGAGCTTGACAAGACGGTCAAGCAGCACTGCAACTGCGTCATACACAGTGACATCAACGCTCCCTTCAACTACGTCAGTGCTGTCTCTGCCACCCATAACCACGCGACCACGAAAGCCGACAAGATCCACCACTACCTCGTCTTCAAGGGTCTCTGCCAGGTCCATATCATCCTCCGACAACGAAACTGCCAACACGACCACCACGAGCTCGACTAGCACTACCGTCATGCGAGCGTCTCAAAATTGGCATTGCGCTTGTGGGGCTTGCTAAATGAAATCTTGACCGGCATGCTCAGTCATGCGAAGCACTCTGCAGGCATGCACTCCCAGAGCGTTTCGTCTTGCCCTTCTCAGGCATTCGGGATGCACGATTGCAGACTTGCACTTGAGTACCTGTCCCAGGCAGGGTCTGCAAGTATTGACTCTTTGGCAGATTGTTGGATGGCAGGTACATGTTTTCGTTAGAGCGTTGCACTGCAGCCTGTCCGGAGCCTGCGTCTAAGACATGTGGACGCGGTTGACTACTGAACTAGTGACGCTACATGTGTAGCTGTGCAAGGTCCGTTCCGATCGGCGTGTTCATCTGCATAGAGGGCCGAATCTTTGGGAGCTCTGGATGCTTGCAGGCGGTGGAAGCGCATGGTAGCACTCTGGAAAGGCTTTTGCGCTCTGGCAGGCTGAAGGCAACCGACATTGGCAAGGTCCCTTGCTGGCCGTAGCTCTGCGTGCTGGCCCAGCACTCAGTGCAGTTGGCTTTTGGATTCTGCGTAGAAAAGTGGAGTGATGGAGTTGTAAGTGGCCAGGCAATGTAATTAGCAGCCAGGTAGCACCGGCGTAGTTCTCAAAATTAGGATGTCATTTTGGGTGTCCAAGCGACCATCATCAAGATCCAGAAAGGACCTTCGCAACAGCATTGGATACCTGAATAGAGCATTTGTGCAAAAGCATTGACAGCTCAGATCGACGGCACTGAGTTGGGACAGGCCTGGCTTGGACTGACCCGCCGCCCTCGCTTCAAGAAAGCTTGAGGCCGGCGGCTCATGTCTTGAGGTCCTTTGACAGTCGGTGAAAGAAAGGGCGCACAGACTGGAACTGGCAAGGCGAGCCGGACCTGCAGCATTTTTTCACAGAAACACCCCCGTGCTCGCAGAAGTGACGCTGGCAGGATAGCAAGTGGCGGCTAAATCGGACGAACCCAATCTCCGGAATTTGTTTTGCGACTGGGGAAGGATCGCTTTCTGACTTTTGAGCATCTTTGGACTTCTCTCGGGTTTGTCTTCTCGGCTTCCGGGCGCTCCTCGGTTTTATTTTGTCAGATTTGGCCTCTGTCTTTTTGGTCTCCCAGCTTGCGGCCCACTTGGCTTTCGCATGCTTGGCCCCAGGCCAACCTTGGAGCAACAGCTGCATCTTCGTTTCTGGGTCGTCAGTCCCCGCATGTCGCACCCCCGACCTCCTGCTGTAGTTTCACACGCATGATGCTGCATGATGGGTAAATCACAGCAAGAAGCAAGAACTTCACGATCACATCATCCATGGTTGTTTGTCCATGAGGGTTGTCGTTCGTGGACACGTGCATCCTCCTCGCAGGTAAGTGTCAATGGTCATGGCTGGGCATGCTCAGCACCAAAAGCTGGGACCAACTGAAAAGAATAAAGAAACGACACAGAACACACCACACATCAAGTCTGGCCACATTTCTTGTCTGATCCTTTTTCGACCAATGGCTGATTGGGTAGCTTCTACATGTTCTGTCACTTCTGATCCTTACGAGAGCTCTGTCTGGAGAAAGCAAAGATGTCGTAGCCCAAGGCAGGTCATGAGCCAAGCGGAGGTCTGCCTTGATGAAGCTGACTTGTGTGCTGCTCGCCATCCCAAGACCACGGCGGACACGGCTCTAGCGTTCTTCTAACATTCGAGATGCAAGCCGCAGTGCTTTGAACATCTTTGCACGTTTCCCTGGTCGCCTCAGTCCATGCTCGCCAAATTTCCGCATTCCATTTTGCTCCCCTGGCCTTGTTCTGTGCAGGCGTGCCGTAGCACTGAGCCTTGGAACACCGCCTTCTTACATCGTTCGCCTGCTCGTTGTGTCAAAGATGCCCGAAGGCTTGGGACGGGCTTGCGATCACGTGCCGATATGTCGCATGTCCGGCCACCGTCGCAGGAGTGGATCCAGAGCAGGCCGGTTATTCCCAGGAAGAACAGGATCTTGCAATTTTGGTGCTCCGAGGCTTTTGCGCAGTTCAAGCTGGCAAATGCTAGAAGCCTGACATGGGGATGTATATACAGGGCGCGCAGCACGAGGTTTGACTTGCAACTGTTGTTGCTGAGGGTTCTGCTGACAAAGCACGAACGGAACTACAAGACATTGAGATCATCTTCTTTGTCCCCGTATGTGTG